GGTATAATAATATAAGAAAAGATGGAGGGGGCAGCATTTGGTATAGCAAATAAAGCCGCCACCTTTGATGCTGGCAGAGGTTCAAGTCCCAGCTGCTCCACTTCCAATCCAGCTCCCTACTAATGTGCCTGAGAAAGCAGCAGACGATGGCTTAAGTGCTTGGGGCCCTGCACCCTCGTAGGAGACCCAGAAGAAGCTCCTGGCTTCTGCCTTTCACCTGGCAAAGCTCTGGCTGTTGCAGCCATTTGTGGAGTGAATCGGGGGATGGAAGACCTCTCCCTCTGTTGTAACACTGCCTTTTAAATAAATTAAATATGGGCCGGGATTGTGACATAGTGGACAAAGCTGCAGCCTGTGATTCCAGCATCCCAAATGGGCACTGGTTCAAGTTCCAGCTGCTTCATTTCTGATCCTGTTCTCTGCTAATGCATCTGGGAAAACAGCAGAGGAGGACCCAAATGCTTGGGCCCTTGCACCCACACAGGAGACCCGTAACAAGCTCCTGGTTCCTGGCTTTGGATTGGCCCAGCTCTGGCCATTGTGGCCATTTGGGGAATGAACCAGCAGATGGAAGATCTTTCTCTCTCCTTCTCTCAGTCTCTTCCTCTCTGTAACTCTGCCTTTCAAATAAGCAAAATCAATCTTTAAAAAAGGTGGGGTGCAGCGCTGAGGCGCAGTGGGTTAAAGGCCCAGCCTGCTGCACTAGCATCCCGTATGGAAACCAGTCCAGGTCCTGGCTGCTCCACTTCCAATCCAGCTCCCTACTAATGTACCTGGGAAAGCAGTGGAGGATGATCCAAGTCCTTGGGCCCCAGCACCCATGTGGGAGAACCAAAAGAAGCTCCTGGCTTCAGATCGGCTCAGCTCCAGCTGTTGCGGCCAACTGGGGAGTGAACCAGCAGATGGAAGACTTTCTCTCTTTGTCACTCTCTCTCTGTCTCTACCTCTCTCTGTAACTGTTTCAAATAAATAAAATAAATCTTTAAAAAAAAAAAAAGATGGAATCATGGGGATGACAGGAACCTTTGGCCAGCTGACCGTATCATATGTCCAATTAGTAAGTAAAAGACAAAGTATACAACCAGAAGCTATAATTAGAAGTTGGAGGGGATGACATCAGGCAGTAATGTGGTTAGTGGTTCAGGCACTAGTTAGGACACCCACAACCCTGGTCAGAGTGCCTGGATTCAATGCCCATTTCTGTTCCTGGCTCCTGCTTCCTACTGAGGCGGATCCTGAAAGGCAACAGTAATGACTCCAGTAACTCAGGCACTGCACTCAATGGGAGAGACCCGGACTGACTACCCACTCCCAGCTCGGGCCTCAGGACAGCCCCGGCCAGTCACTGCAGGCATCTGCGAAGTGGGCCGGCAGATGCAGCAGGGCTCACACTCGCTCGCTCACTCTCCCCTCCTCCCTCACTCTCAAAAAACAAATAAAACTTTTTGAATAACGTGAACGAGATGCTCCAGCAATCACTTTCCCATAGATATGAATTTGAACAGCTATTCATACACCAAGCCACCTTCAAAGAGCTAAGGAAGCCAGGTGAGAGACCACGGTGCCTGGTTTTCAGTAAAAGAGAAGCTGCACCGGAGAAGACAGGAAGGAAAAGGGATGCTGTATCACCCCTCGGCCTGCTCAGAGCAATGTACTCCCATGTCTCCCCCTTGGGGGACAAAGAAGCAATTAAGTCCAGACTTCAGTACTAGGCCCACTACTATAAAACCCAGCAGAGGCGGGGCCTCATGACCCCTGTTCCCAAGCCAGAACCTTTAGCCTGAGCCTTTGGACCTTCCTTAGCCAAAAGGCTAAGGGCAGACTGCACCACTCCTCAACCAACCACTGGCAGCAGCACAGTAAAACACTAATCTCTGGGAAGGAGGATGAGACCATCAGTATAGATTTTGCCATGGAGCTCAAGGGCAGGCCTGCCACGATGAAACCCAGCACCAGATAAGCCAAAGGTCTCTAACCCCAAGCCATGGCTTGTACATATAGAGTCTTAGTTCACACTGAACAACATCTTAACTGCAAATTTCAGACAAATCTGGGGTCGGACCTCCTCCAGTCCTGAACAGCAACAACACACAGAGGCCGGCACTGTGGCTTAGTGGGTAAAGCTGCTGCCTGAAGTGCTGGCATCCCACATGAGCGCCGGTTCGAGTCCCGGCTGTTCCACTTCTGATTCAGCTCTCTGCTATAGCCTGTGAAAGCAGTGGAAGATGGCCCAAGTCCTTGGGCCCCTGCACCTGCGTGGGAGACCTGGAAGAAGCTCCTGGCTTAGGATTGGCACAGCTGCAGCCATTGCGGCCAATTGGGGAGTCAATCAGCGGATGGAAGACCTCTCTCTCTGTCTCTCCTTCTATTAACTCTGACTTTCAAGTAAACAAATAAATCTTAACACACACACACACACACACACACAGAGCAGACTTGTAGCAGACTTTGGTGGAGGGTGCCATCTAGTGATGAAATAGCAGAACTGGACACAGACTCAAACAGCATGGAATTTCTGGAAGGCAGGCAACAACATAGCCATATTATGAAGACTTGACAAAAACCAATAATCCTTCAATGCAAAGATGATGTCATTTCCCCATAAGAATCAAAAACTATAATAACCATGATCTCACCTTATGAACAAAATAAGGTATCAGAAAACAATCAGATACCAACCGATATATGCAAATTCCCAGATGCAGAATTCAAAATGGCTGTTTTAAGGAAACTCAATGATATTCAGGGAATGCAGAGAAATTACTCATTACTCTAAAAGAAATAACAGATATTACAGATTCAATTAGTCATTTCAATTTGTCAAAATGAGAATTAAAGGTAAGAAACTTATTCAAATTAGTCAGAAGAGTTAAGACAGAGAAGAAGGTAGGGGCCACCGTTGTGGTACAGTGGGTTAGGTTGCTGCCTGCAACACCAGCATCCCATATGGGTGCCAGTTCAAGTCCCACTGCCCCACTTCAAATCCAGCTCCCTGCTAATGGTCTGGAAAAAGCAGCAGAAGGTGGTCTAAGTGCTTGCGTCCTTGCATCCACATGGGAAACACAAATGACGCTCCTGGCTCCAGCCTGGCTTAGTCGTGGCAACTTGGGGAGTGGACCAGTGAATGGAAGATTTGTCTCTCCCTCTCTCTCTGTAACTCTTTCAAATAAATAAATAAATAAATCTTAAAAAATAAAAGAGGGAGAAAGAGAGGGGGAGAGGGAGGGAAAGGTGTGGGGAGCAACTGAGACTAGACTAAGTTACTGGAATTAAGACTTATTCTATGCATCTGCTCTCCCACAATGTGGCGCTGGGAGAGGAGGAAACAGCTTCTACACAGCTGCCTCCAGTTCAACCAATAAACTGTAGGACCTGCTCCTGATTGGAGGAGAGCAGCGTACTCGGCGTGTGGGTAGCAGAGTTGGGATTGGTGGAAGAGGACTATAAAGGAGGAGAGAGACAACGTGCACGAGGAACATCTGAAGGAACACCTGAGCAGCCCCTGAGAGAGCCGGCCGGCGGTGTGCTGCTCCCCCGCGGAAGCGGGGAAAGTGGCAGGGGGTACCGCCCCTCCACAGAGGTGGAGGGGTCGAGAGCCAACCCGGGAAGGACCAGCAGCAAACCGGGGAAGGGCCAAGCAGACGAAAGAACAGCGCAGGGTCCTGTGTCGTTCCTCTGCGAAGAGGGGGAGCGACAGAAAGGGAGAGAGGGAAAAAGGGAGGGGGAGAGAGAAGGTAGATGAGTAGTTGCCTAGAACTATGGGTCTGAAAAAATGTGGACTGTTAATGGGTATTGGGTTTCTTTTCGGGGTGATACAAATATTCCCAAACTGACTGTGATATAGTTATATAAATCAGAATATATTAAACTATATTTTAAGAGGGTGAATTGTATAGTATGTGAATTATATCTCAAAAAATAATACATTGACAATTAAATCTTTCCCTGCTGATTAAAGGCTGCACTGGTTTAAAAAAAAAAAGTGGGGCCGGCGCCGCGGCTCACTAGGCTAATCCCCCGCCTTGCGGTGCCGGCACACCGGGTTCTAGTCCTGGTCGGGGTGCTGGATTCTGTCCCGGTTGCCCCTCTTCCAGGCCAGCTCTCTGCTGTGGCCCGGGAGTGCAGTGGAGGATGGCCCAAGTGCTTGGGCCCTGCACCCCATGGGAGACCAGGAGAAGCACCTGGCTCCTGCCATCGGATCAGCGCGGTGTGCTGGCTGCAGCGTGCCGGCTGCGGCGGCCATTGGAGGGTGAACCAACGGCAAAGGAAGACCTTTCTCTCTCTCTCTCTCACTGTCCACTCTGCCTGTCCAAAAACAAAAAAAAGTGGGGCTGGACTGTGGCATAGGGGGTACAGCCGCTGCCTGCAGCACCAGCATCCCATATGGGTGCCAGTTCAAGTCCCGGCTACTCCACTTCTGATACAGCTCTTTGCTATGGCCTGGGAAAGCAGTAGAAGATGGCCCAGTGCTTGGGCAGCTGTACCCATGTGGGAGACCCGAAAGAAGCTCCTGACTTCAGATCAGCCCAGCTCTGGTCATTATGGCCATTTGGAGAGTGAACCAGCAGATAGAAGATTTAGAAGATTCTCATTCATTCTCATTCTCATTCTCTCTCTCTCTCTCTCTCTCTCTCTGTGTGTGTGTGTGTGTGTGTGTCTGTCTCTGTCTCTGTCTCTCCCTTCCTCTGGAACTCTCTCAAATAATTAAGTCTTAAAAAAAGAAGTGAAACACTTATATCCTAGAAACTTTTCAATTTTTAAACTCCTCTAAAAATAAGACCCTCTCCCTGAAAGAAATAAATCCATCATCCAATTCTGATACCCTCAACTTTCATGTAGATTTTCAGGAACCCATCTAAATAGTAGACAGGCTGCATAACATAGTAAGTCCTATAATCAAAGGATGAGTGCAATGCTTAGGGACTGCGATCATTAGAATGAATTATCCGTACACAGTTTACTATTATCTCTTTAGAGGACTTTAGCAATCTGCAACTTACCTTCATCAGGGCATTGAGTGCATACTTTTGATCCTCTCGCTTTGCTACAGCTTTTGCTTCCGCAGCTTCTTTTGCTCTCTCTTGTGCTTGCAAAATAGATTTTTCTCTTATTCTTTGCATCATCTCTTTGTCAACTAAAACGTAAGGAATATTGCTAAGTTAGGATTATGATATATTCATTTTGTGAGAAAATTATTTAACATACTGATCCAGGATGAGATTCTTTTACACTCAGTGTCACAAGGAGATGTGGAACTGTTTTTCAGTATTAACCTGACAAGAAGCTGACCCTAGAAGGTAAGCAATGATGAACTGCTACAGAATAAAGTGGGGTGGGGAGGAAGACAAAGAAATGGAGGACAAGACATGAGGCAGAGGGAATGAGAGCAGAAAAATGAATGAGAGTGAAAGGGGGTAGGAACAAGAACACATTTATCCTACCTCTGTTGAGAAACCATGGCTTATAAACCTGATTGCAATAACTAATCACCATGGGGGTCAATTAGAAAATGGGTTGAAATCAAGCGAAATGGGGGCTGGCGCTGCAGTGCAGCAGGGTAAAGCCCTGGCCTGCAGTGCCAGCATCTCATATGGATGCCAGTTCGAATCCCAGCTGCCCGCTGCCCCACTACTGATACATCTCCCTGTTAATGTGCCCAAAAAAGCAGCAGAGGATGGCCCAAGCAGTTGGGCCCCTGCACCTACGTGGGAGACCCGGAAGAAGTTCCTGGCTCCTAGCTTTGGATAGGTTTAACTCCAGCCATTGTGGCCATTTGGGGAATAAACCAGCAGATGGAAGACCTCTCTTCCTCTGTTTCTACCTCTCTCTGTGTAACTCTGACTTTCGAATAAATAAAATAAATCTTTAAAAAAAAATCACCTGAAATGTTCCACCTTCACAAACATTAAGTGGTCATTTATACACACAAGGAGTACAGGACCAGCAAAAATAACAAATTAACATGACATACCACACAAGGGTACTTCAAAAAGTTCATGGAAAATATAACCAAAAGATTAAGATCATGGTGGTACAAAAAATGTTGAAATCCAAGCATAAAGTTTTTTTTCATTAAAAATGTATTTATTTGACGGCCGGTGCCACGGCTCACTAGGCTAATCCTCCACATGCAGCGCCAGCACACCGGGTTCTAGTCCTGGTCAGGGCGCCGGAGTCTGTCCCGGTCGCTCCTCTTCCAGGCCAGCTCTCTGCTGTGGCCAGGGAGTGCAGTGGAGGATGGCCCAGGTGCTTGAGCCCTGCACCCGCATGGGAGACCAGGAGGAAGCACCTGGTTCCTGGCTTGGGATTAGCACAGTGCGCCGGCCACAGAGGCCATTGGGGGGCTGAACCAACGGAAAAAGGAGGAACTTTCTCTCTGTCTTTGTCACTCTCACTGTCCACTCTGCCTGTCAAAAAAAAAAAAAAATAAATAAAAATATTTATTTGGCCGGTGCCACGTCTCACTTGGCTAATCCACTGCTTGCAGCGCCAGCCCGCAGGTTCTAGACCCGGTTGGGGTGCCGGATTCTGTCCCGGTTGCTCCTTTTCCCGTCCAGCTCTCTGCTGTGGCCCAGGAAGGCAGTGGAGGATGGCCCAAGTGCTTGGGCCCTGCACCGGCATGGGAGACCAGGAGGAAGCACCTGGCTCCTGGCTTTGGATCGGCACAGTGCCGGCCATGGCAGCCATTTGAGGGGTGAACCAATGGAGGGAAGACCTTTCTCTATGTCTCTCTTTCTCACTGTGTAACTCTGCCTATCAAAAAAAAAAAAAGTATTTATTTAAGAATTAAGGTATATTTTTACAAGATTTATTTATTTACTTATTTATTAATTTATTTATTTGAAAGGCAACGAGAAAGAAGGGGTAGGGTGAGAGAGTGAGATCTTCCATCCACTGATTCACTCCCCAAATGGCCCCAACGGCTGCAGCAGGGCCAATCCGAAGCCAGAAGCCAGGAGCTTCTTCTGGGTCTTCCATGTGGGTTCAGGGGCCCAAGCGCTTGGGCATCCTCTACCTCTCTTCCAGGAACGTGAACATGGAGCTGAATTGGAAATAGAGCAGCCAGGACACGAACCAGCACCCATACAGGATGCTGGCACTACAGGCAGAAGCTTAACCTGCTTTGCCACAGCACCGGCCCCAGCATAGCTTTTCATAAAACATATTTTCCAAGATCTTTTTGAAGATCCCTCATATGCATGGATTTCAAACTTTTTACAACAAAATAAAGTTATCTTTTGATCTCATTCTTCCACAAACTCTTAACTTCATTTGAAGGGCAGAGAGACAGTAACAGACAGAAATATTTCACCTACTGCTTCATCTGACAAACGCCCACAACTACCTAGGCCATAGTTAGGAGCCTGGAATTCAATCCAGGCCCCCAGTGCGAGTGAAAGGGATCCAAGTACTTAAGCCATCCCCTGCTGCCTCCCAGGTTATGCAATAGAAAGCTGGGCTCAGAAGCAGAGCCACGACTCAACCCTAGGCACTCAAGTATGGTATGTGGGCACTGCACGTGGCATCTAACTGCTGCACTAAATGTCTACCCCTCCATGAACCTTCTGAAGTGCTGCATGTGAAAATCCCAACCCTGGGGCCGCTGCTGTGGCACAGTGAGTTAGCTGCCATCTGCAGTGCTGGCATCCCACGTGGGCACCGGTTCGAGTCCTGGCTGCGCCACTTCCAATTCAGCTCTCTGCTCATGCACCTGGGAAGTCCTTGGGCTCCTGAACCCATGAAGTAGACCCTGTTGAATCTCCTGGCTTCAGCCTGGCTCGGTCCTGGCCGATGCAGCCATTTAGGGAGTGAATCAGCCAACAGAAGATCTCTCTCTCTGCCTTCAAATTAATAAATAAATCTTAAAAAAAGAGAGAGAGAGAGACACACACAAATAAAAGAAAATCCCAACGCAGCAATGTGATAATATCTGGAGGTGGGTCTTTTGGGAGGTAGTGTCTTTTTTTTTTTTTTTTTTTTTGACAGGCAGAGTTAGACAGTGAGAGGGAGATAGAGAGAGAGAGAGAAAGCTCTTCCCTCTGTTGGTTCACCCCCTAAACGGCTGCTACGGCCAGGCCAGCGCTGCACCGATCCGAAGCCAGGAGCCAGGTGCTTCCTCCTGGTCTCCCATGCCGGTGCAGGGCCCAAGCACTTGGGCCATCCTCCACTGCACTGCCGGGCCACAGCAGAGAGCTGGCCTGGAAGAGGAGCAACTGGGACAGAATCCAGCGCCCCGACTGGGACTAGAACCTGGGGTGCCAGTGCCACAAGCGGAGCATTAGCCTAATGAGCTGCGGCGCCAGCCGGTAGTGTCCTTCTAAGTAGGCCTCAGAGCGCCTCCCTGCCCCATTCACCAGTTAAGAACACACTGCAAAGGTGCCATCGAGGATTAAAAAAAAAAAAAAAGACTGAGTCCTCACCAGACCCCAGACCTGCTGCTGATTCAATCCTGGATCTAGCAGGCTACCCAATTCTGAGATGTACATTTTTGTCATCTTCTCAGCTCCTTGGCGGCTCAAGTACTTCGGTCCCTGCCACTCACATTCAAAACTCAGATGGAGTTCTGGACTCCTAATTTTGGCTGGGCCCACAGCCCCAGTTGCTGCAGTCATTTAGGGAATTAACCAGCAGTAGAAGATCTCTCTGGGGCCTGTGCTGTGTCTTAGTGGATGAAGCCGCTGCCTGCAGTGCCGGCATCCCACATGGGCACCAGTTCAAGTTCCGGCTGCTCTAGTTCCAATCCAGCTCTCTGCTATGGCCTGGGAAAGCAGTAGAAGATGGCCCAAGCCCTTGGGCCCCTGTACCCATGTGGGAGATCTGGAAGAGGCTCCTGGCTTCGGATCAGCAGAGCTCCAGCCGTTGTAGCCATCTGGGGAGTGAACCAGTGGATGGAAGACTTCTCTCTCTCTCTCTCTCTCTCTGTCTCTCCTTCTCTGTGTAACTCTACCTTTCAAATAAAAAAATAAATCTTAAAAAAATACATATCTCTGACCTCTCTGACCCTCTGCCTTTCAAATAAATGAATGATCTTTTAAAAAAGTTATCAAAAATAAATTTTGAGAAAAAGTAGATAAATATATTTTTTAATAATGAAACAAACTTTAGATACCTTACGTGGAAAAGAGATAACAAATAATCTCTGAATTGCAAGTGAAACTGAGTTCGATTCTAAAGGAATTTCTGAAGCAGAATCAGTGCTAACTGTTGCGTGAGTTCATTTTCAGAGTGTTGAATTATGTGAATCAGGTGTTGCTGGCAAGCTGGGTCCACCAGCCAAACCCAGGCTGCTGCCTGTTTTATCACAGCCCATAAGTTTTTATATTTTAAGAGGTTTAAAAAATAAAAATACATATTGTGTGACAAACACAAATTAGGTACAATTCACATTTCAGTGTCTGTAAGTAAGCCTCATCTACAGCTGCTGTTGTGCCCCAATGGCAGAGCTGAGTTCACGTGACCGAGACTTCGGGGCCTGCAAAGTCGAAAACAGCCTTATTCTTTCTACAGAAAAAGTTTGCCAATCCTGAATAAAATAACCAAAGCTTGAAATGACGAACATGTAACCATGAGCACTTTCCGGTGAGAGAAGATTATAAAACAGGAAAATCATGATTCAAGAAGGGAAATTCCCATTCCCACTCCTGGAGAAGGGAGGCATCAGGGTAAGACACTTTGACACAAAAGCAAGTGTTTCATGTCAGGAAATATGTTATGAGGAAAGTAACAGGTACTAGTCTAGTAGACTAGTCTGATGCTAGTCTTCTTTATATCAAAAAGATGATGGCCAAATCATTTCCTGGAGAAATGTGCTGGCCCCCAGGGGGAATAGAGACACAAACCAGCAAACATCTAAGTCAGTGGTTCTCAAACCTAACTAGTATCAGAACCGCCTGGGGAGCGCTCCCGTGGATCTCGTTCTTCCCCCCAGCCCCTGCTCCCACCCGTCTATTTTTAAATAAACAACTACATTAGATGGTCATTTTGGTCATATACAACTTCAAAATTAAGATTATCAGCAAGAGTCAAAATACATGAGAATGTTTGTATTTAATCTTAGGTAAGAAGTCAAAACATCCTGAGTGGGCGAGTTTCAGGACATCTCAGGCACCATTATAGATTTACTGAGCCAGAAAGTAAGGAAGAGGTCAAAGAACAGGAAACTGATTTTTTTTTTTACTTTTATTTAATGAATATAAATTTCCAAAGTACAGCTTATGGATTACAATGGCTTCCCTCCCATAACGTCCCTCCCACCCGCAACCCTCCCCTTTCCCACTCCCTCTCCCCTTCCATTCACATCAAGAAGGAAACTGGTTTTTGAAAACTCCTTAAGTAGACCCAGACTCACTAAAGAAACAGAGTAACCTTGATATGGTAACCTACCTTAACTAGTGTTCTCTGAGCTGAACACCAGACCTTAGAGGGAAAAACTCTACCCCAGTCCTGGCCCAGGGGAATAAAAATTAAATTCCACTGCAAAATACCAGGAAAGCTTTAACATAACATAAAGTTATAAAACCCTTCCATTCTCAACTGTTCACACTCACGGTTTAATGCCAGAGGCACGAGGGAAATTCTAGGCAGTTGATACAAAATATGAGAAAATATGACAACTAAAAGACTGAAGAGGGACAAAAAAGCAGAAGCTGTGTAGGACAATTAACGACCCACAAAGCTGCTACGGACGGCAGAACAGAGAACCACCTACGAACGAAGAGAACTACCTTTAGAACAAGGGATCGCAACTTTGGCTGCACATTATAAGCTTTTCAAAAGTCTCTGCACCTGGGTTCCAATCCCAGAAAGAGATCTGATTGCTCTAAGATGAGTTTTGGGCATTCCTGCTATTTTAAAATTCCACAGGTGGTTTAAGTAAGTAGCCAGGATTGAGAACCATTTCTTCAGAGTGAAGCTGCCCAGGCAGGCTCCAGTTCCAGCCTGCAGTCAGCAGCTGTGTGAGCTCTGCCAATTACTACACAGGTCTGTGTGTCAGGAGTAGCCTCACCTGTGAAAAGGGATAACAATGCCTAAGGCACTGGTTGTCCTGAAGATGAACAGATATGGTAATACATAACACAAAGTAGGTTCTCAATAAAGGTCCTATCAGGACTTACCCCTAAGATAGGAGCCCACAGCTTCTGCTTAATGTGCTCTAACTCTGAAAGATTTACTCTTGGCCGACGCCGCGGCTCACTAGGCTACTCTTCCTCCTGCAGCGCTGGCACCCCGGGTTCTAGTCCCAGTCAGGGGTTCCGGTTCTGTCCCGGTTGCTCCTCTTCCCAGTCCAGCTCTCTGCTATGGCCCGGGAAGGCAGTGGAAGATGGCCCAGGTCCTTGGGCCCTGCACCCGCATGGGAGACCAGGAGGAAGCACCTGGCTCCTGGCTTCGGATCAGCGCAGTGTGCCGGCATTTGGGGGTGAACCAACAGAAGCAAGACCTTTCTCTCTAACTCTGCCTGTCAAAAAAAAAAAAAAAAAAGATTCGCTCTTTATTCAGGCTCATTCATTTTAAGTGTTGGCTGAAGCACTACTTCATTTAGGTCAGGCTCATAAAAGCCTATTTTTTTTTTCCTATATGAGTGCCTGAAGGAGTTAAAAGAAATACCAGTTCAGAACATGCTCTTTTGATAGATGGGTTATTTTGAGTTAAAGGCACTTAATAAACAACAAATGCAGAACTAGCTTTCTTTGAATGCTTCTTGTCTGCCAAAGAGACTTTTTTCGAAATTAACTCAACTGTCACAAAAACCTTCCTGTGGAGTTGCCTCAACCTGGGAATACTGACACTAACCGGAGAGGAGAGGAGAGGAGAGGAGAGGAGAGGAGAGGAGGGGCCCACAGCACACTGCAGCGAACCTTGTCACGCTTCCCGACTATTCTTCCACAGAGTGGTTCACCTTTTCTAAAAATCATTTCCCATCCTAAGCCATTGGCCTCTCCCCTCCCCTTTCCCTATTAAGAGGGTCCTATAGCCTTTCTGGGGTATTCACCCTTACTTTTTTCCTGTGAAGTCCCCCCAGGCACATAATATTAAAAATTAATAAATATGCATACCTTGTCACCTGTGACTCCACCTCTTACTCGTTTATTTCACGGACTCAGCTATGGAACCTAGGAGTAAAGTTTTTCTGTACCCCACACAATGTACCTATTTCCAAAGAGAATTTTTAAAAAGGCCTAACACAGGAAAGCCACAAGCACGCGAGCATTTTCAGGGAAGAACTCACCACCCGGCACAGAGAGAGTCTCCCACATGCCTGCTTCTTTTTTATACAAGGTAAAGACAACAGCGTCATTTCCAATCTTTGCTTTGCTGCTGGCATCGTCTATGGGAGCGTAGAGAAATGCCTCAAATAAAAACGGAGGAAAGTTGACCTATTCAGAAGGGAGAATGCAGAAATTAAGTTATCCACTAGTTAAGGACAGCTGCCATTAAGAAATACGTGATAAAGACAAAACTTTGTTGTCTACTAAATGCATTCCAGGTGAAGAGTAGCATGGTATAAGACGAAGCCCTGGTATAACCAATGTCTGACTTGACCACATCCGTCTACACCTGAGCTGGCACCTGCGTGAGACTCGTTTTCTAAAAACGGGATTAAAAATGCACGCCGCTCATAACCAGGCGCGTGCCCAGCTGCGCTCCCCCATAAGCTTGGCACCAGCCCGCCGAGGACCCGGCGGGCACGATTCGCGCTCCCACCTTCAGATAGTTTTCCGTGCAGAACACGTCCGCATCTCTCACGCAGACGCCTCGCAGGGGCAGAGAGAGGAAGACCGCAGTCTTCGTCTGCTGCCAGCTGTAATCGCTAACCTGCACGGGCATCGCCGGAGTGGCCCGAGCGCACGGCGCCGCGGCTCGCTGCTCGCGCCCTCTCGGTTGCTAGGGAAGCTGGGGTTACCAGGCGCCAGCTCTTCCGGGTCGCGCCGAGTCGCAGCGCCCCGCCTTCCCAGCATGCCCCCCGCGCGCGCCGGGCGACGTCCCGCGAGCCCCTTGTGCTGTTTGGGCGGCGGGGTACAGGGATTAAGCGATTAAGGAGGCGTGGGGGAGAGGCACCTTCTTTTTCAGTGGACGACTGTCCGAGGAAGGAGGACCATTCCTGCTTAAGAAAGAAAAGAGCTTGAGGTGTGAGAGTGGAAAGAGACGTGTAGGGAAGGCTAACTTGAGAGGGGCCAGGCGCCCTTGGAGTCCAGGCCTTTATTCTGACCCCGGTTATTTCGAACTAGCTCTCTTTTCCTGTTTAGGAAATGACTGTGTTGACCGACTTATCGAGAGCTTGTCTTGGCTATTGTCGTTCTCCAAATCCTGTCCACTGTTAGGCCACCAAAAGCACCCAGGCATAGTTCGCTCAGAACTGGTGAGAAAGGACTTTAGGGCTCCCCTTACCAATGCTTGGCCACAACTCAGAAGGCTAAGTTGGATTTACACTGAAAATTTTACAGTTGCTTACTTAGCTTGAATTTAAGCGCTGCCGAGAAACTTGAAGATCATTACTTTCGCCCTATAGATTATAGGAATCTGCATTTTTTTTTTTTTTTAAGATTTATTTGAAAGGCGGAGTTACAGAAAGAGACAGATCTTCCATCCATTGGTTCACTCCCCAGATGGCCGCAATGACTGGAGCTGGGCCAGGCCAAAGCTGGGAGCCTGGAATTCCATTCTGATCTCCCACATGGGTGGCAGGGGCCCAAGCCCTTGGGCCGCTTTCTGCTGCTTTTCCCAAGCCATTCACAGGGAGCTGGATCAGAAGTGCAGCAGCCAGGAAAGGAACCTGGGCCCATACGGGATGCTGGCTTTGCAGGTAGTGACTACTCCTTATGCCACAACACTGCCCCCAATACTTTTTTTTTTTTTTAAAAGATTTATTTATTTGAAAGAGTTACACAGAGAGAGAAGGAGAGGCAGAGAGAGAGAGGTCTTCTATCTGCTGGTTCACTCTCCAGTTGGCTGCAATGGCTGGAGCTGAGCTGATCCAAAGCCAGGAGACAGGAGCTTCCTCAGGGTCTCCCATATGAGAGGGACCCAAGGACTTGGGCCATCTTCCATTGCTTTCCCAGGCCATAGCAGAGAGCTGGATTGGAAGTGGAGTAGCTGGGACTCGCACGGGTGCCCATATGGGATGCCGGCACTGCAGGTGGCGGCCCCACCACCCATACTCTTAAACCCACACTTACGTTAGTGACTTAGCCATGACAAAAAAAATCCTTGTTTCTTAACTGCTATTCCAATGTTCTTTCACTAAAGCTGTTTTCTGTAGACCCAGATTATAAATTACTGGAATATGATGCTAACATAGTGAAGTCGTATGATAATTTAGCATCTACAAGTTACTTGTTGTTGCTCCCCCTCTTCGTGGAGGAACGACACTAAACCCTGCCTAGGCTTCATATCCGAGTCACGGCACCATTATGTCGCTCCCCCTCTTCGTGGAGGAACGACACAGGACCCTGCGTTGTTCTTTTGTCTGCTCAGCCCTCCCCGGGTTTGCTGCTGGTTCTTCCCGGGTTTGCTACCATCCCTTCCACCTCCGTGGAAGGGCGGTTCCCCCTAGCCACTTTCCCCACTTCCGCGGGGGAGCGGCACACTGCCGGCCGGCTCTCTCAGGGGCTGCACAGGTGTTCCTTCAGATAGATGTTCCTCTTAGATGTTCCTGGTGCACGTTGTCTCTCTCCTCCTTTATAGTCCTCTTCCACCAATCCCAACACTGCTACCCACACGCCGAGTACGCTGCTCTCCTCCAATCAGGAGTAAGTCCTACAGTTTATTGGTTGAACTGGAGGCAGCTGTATAGAAGCTGTTTCTCCCTTCTCAGTGCCATATTGTGGGAGAGCAGATGCATAGAATAAGTCTTAATTCCAGTAACTTAGTCTAGTCCGAGTTGCTCCCCACACTTGTAACCAAGGGTTTTGGATTCTAAACTTTCTTTTGGAGACTTTCACACAGATTCCAAAGCTCACAAGCAATTTCTTGAGGAACATTTAGAAGACTGGGGGAAGTGGGTAGGAATAACTTTTTTCCCCAAAATATTGTCAGCAGCTCATTATCCAAGGTTCTGGTAATTTGGAATACTGGAGTCATTTTAAGACTCCTTTTGCTCCTTTTCCCTCTTTCCTAAGCCAAGAAACCTTTGATTCTGGTGGATTCTTTTTCTTGTTGCTTTTGGAATTCCCTCCCCTAACTCCCCCCTTTTATTCTATTGGTACTTTTACTATATTGTTTGAGTCTTATAAAGTTGCAAAACACGATGTATACAATCCTTTCATATAACATTTTAAAATCTGTGTTCTCCCAGTATACAAAAATACAAGTGAGATGATGTATGTACAAAAGACAATAATAAAAAGGATACGTTGTGCTATGTAGGACTTTCAAGAAATCTGTTAGCAATCACTTAGCTAACAGGTCTGCAGTGAAATTGTTCTGACAACCATAATCTTACTAAACTTTCATACCCTCTACCATAACAAAAACTTTGCAGATTTTTTTTACTGAATTGTTACATCAACTGATAATAATTTTAAAACATCATTAATCTTTATGCATTGTTTCATAACTTAGGTACTTATCTAAGCAGTGTTTCACAAGTTTTGAAAACAAATCAAAAAGGTCTTAAATTATACTCATTAGATTTTAAAAAATAAAAGTTCTATTCTAACTCACGGACAGACAGAAATTCGATATTTGGCAAAGAGGGTCTGCATCTAAGTGGGAAAATGCAAAGAAAGGAATGACTTACATACGTGATGTGGGAGAAATGGTTACCATATGGGAAAAAATGAGATTGGATCTATGTACACATATGGTATCACACACAAAAATGAATTTCAGATGAACCAAAGATATAAAAGCTTGAAATTTAAAAAATGATAATATATATGATTTTGGAATAAGAAAGGACATATGACATAAAAAGTGCTAACCATGAAGAAAAAAATGAAAAATTGAAACAAAACTAAGAACTGTTGTGCACCAAAGCATAGTCATGAATGTGAAGATAAATGAAACATGCATACATAAACTATCAATGCCCTTCAGCCTCAGACAACAGAGACACCTGTGGTCGAACAAGTTCATCCCTCAATGAGTAAGGAAGAATACAGGCCGCAGGTGTCCCAATAAGTGGGGATTAGAACTTGGTGGATAGGCTAAGGGAAGTTTCCCACGAGATTAGGTGCTTTTAAAAAGCTATGGTAGGGGCAGGTTTTTTGACAAAGCTGTTGTTACCACTTAGGATGCTCTCATCTCAGTGTGCCTGGTTTGAGTCCTGGCTACTCTGCTTCCAATTTACCTGCCACCTAATGCACATTCTGGGTAGACAGCAGATAATGGCTCAAGTAGTTGGGTCGCTGCCACCCATGTGGGAGACCTGGGTGGAATTTCAAGCTCCTGGCTTCAGTGTGGTCCAGCCCTAGCTGTTGTGAGCATTGTGTGTGTGTGTGTGTGTGTGTGTAGCAAGGGGGTGGGGTGAGGGGGTATTGATCCACGAAATGGGAGAACTCTCTCTCTGCCTTTCAAATAAAAATAATAATAATAAACCAGATTAATTCTATTGAGGGGGTTCAAGGCTATGCCAAAATTTGACACCTTGGTATATTGAATATTTTAACCTGAAGCAATTTGAAAAGGGCTCTCTGACCTCTCTGGAACCCTTCTTCCCTGAAGACTCGTCAGGCCAGGATAAACGCTCCCCAGTTTACTACAGTTAGCTCATCCTCTTTGTGTTATCACATTTTCCTGTGACTTTTTTTTTTTTTTTTTTTTTTTGACAGGCAGAGTGGACAGTGAGAGAGAGAGACTGAGAGAAAGGTCTTCCTTTGCAGTTGGTTCACCCTGCAATGGCCGCCGCCGCTGGCACACCGCGCTGATCCGATGGCAGGAGCCAGGTGCTTCTCCTGGTCTCCCATGGGGTTGCAGGGCCCAAGTACTTTGGCTATCCTCCACTACACTCCCTGGCCACAGCAGAGAGCTGGCCTGGAAGAGGGGCAACCGGGACAGAATCCGGCACCCCAACCGGGACTAGAACCCGGTGTGCCGGTGCCGCAAGGTGGAGGATTAGCCTAGTGAGCTGCGGCACCAGCCCTGTGACTTTCCACTCTATCAAACCCAGCTCAAAAATGCTTGGGTTTAACCATTTCTTTCGTTTATCACTTCTTTATGCATACTCTCATCCCATATAAACTTATATTAAATAAATGTGCATGGTTTTCTCTTGTAGTCTGTCTCAATCTGTCTCAGGGTTCTCTAAGAAAGAATTTAGGGGGCAGGCGCTGTGGTGTAGTGGATTACGTCTCTGCCTGTGGTGCCAGCACCAGCATCCCGTATGGGTGCTGGGTTGAGTCCTGGCTACTCCTCTTCCAATCCAGGAGGTTTTTCCATTCACTGGTCCACTCCCCAAATGGCTGCAACAACCAGAGCTGGACTGAACTGAAGCCAGGAGCTTCTTCCAGGTCTCCCACGTGGGTACAGGGGCCCAAGCACTTGGGCCATCCTCCACTGCCTTCCCAGGCAATTAGCAGATAGCTGGATCAGAAGAGGAACAGCAGGGACATGAACCAGCCCCCACATGAGATGCCTGCACAGTACGTGGAGGCTGAACCTACTGCAAAGCGCCAGCCCTATAAAATGTGACTTTTAAAATACATAACTCACTAAATTTTTTTTCTAAAAAATATAAAAATGTTCAGTATCTCCATATACTTCTTCAATGAGACAAGGAAAGGTCATGTTTTAACTACCAATTGAAAAATCCTGCATGTGATCATTGAAAAGTACAGTTTAAATCTTATATATCCTTACTGATTTTTTGTGGGTTTTGTTTGTTTTGTTTTGTTGGTCCTTGGTGCTTTTTTCCCCAGAATATTTTCAAGCAAGTTATAGAATTATTAAGTATTTCAGTG